TTATCTTAACCATAAAAAAATGGGCTGCATGTCTAATTTTTAAAAAAATACAAATTTTTCTAATTTATTTTGGTTATGGATTGGATCATTAAATCTGGATTTTTTGCACACTCCTAATATACATAAATTAAATTTCTATGAATTTTAAGATTATGATTATTTGTTGTGTAAGCTCACCCTTGCATTCTGTCTGTGTTGGCGTGTGTGTTGCGATAACCGTAATGTGATATGTGAGTAGAACTGACAAGTGAAGTATTTACTTTCCTTGCTAGATGGTCTGGCTGAGGATTGGTTCAGACAGAAGATTTTAAGATCTGTAGCTTTGTTTTTGTCAGTCTAGGTTTTAGTATAAATCTAGGCTATTTAGTTACAATTTTTAAGAAATATAATTTTAATTATAAGTTGCATTTAGGGTTTAGGGTTTAGTATAAATCTAGGTTATTTGGTTACAATTTCTAAGAAATGTTATTAAAGAGCAATTGTGTATATACATATATATATTTTGAATTATATGATGATGTTTCAGAGTTCCCTTTTTATAATGAGTTTTTATTTTTAGTGCTTTTTGTGGAATAAGTCTCAGATCTTTCTAAAATGCAAAAATTTTATACATGGGTAAGTTGTATTAGTATGTCAACCGAAAAAAGGTCATAACAATTTTCAATAAGGTTCTTCCTATAATGACGGGGTTGTGTTATCTTTATGATTAGATGAAATATAAGGTTCATATGGAATGTTCTATCAATATTAGGGTTAAATGAATGTAATAGGTTAGGATTGGACCTAATCATGCACTAGAAAAATTGAAAAATGCAATAGAATAATAAATTGATGCATAGTATGCTTGCAAAGCAAATATCATGAAACAAATAAATATGAATGGGGTAGGGGTATGGAATGACAAAAAATGCAACAGTGCACTTACAAACTAATGTTCCTACAAGACACCAATTTGATTAAAGCCACTTTGTATAAAAATATTATGCAAAAATTAATATAGTACTAGGTAAGCCTAAATCATGCTCCTAGGGACAATTATTGCTAAATTAAGCGAATGGGGAGCAGTGGATAAGGCCTTTCTTAATTTTCTCTTTAACAATGTGACAATATATTTCTATGTATTTTGTGTGCTCATGAAACACAATATTAAACGCAATATACCTTGTATTGTGACAATACATAAGACTTGGTCCCTCAAAATAAACTTTAAAGTCTTGTAAAAGATAGATTAGCCATTAAATTTCACAAGTGACAGTGGCCCAATCTCTATGTTTAACTTCACAAGACCTTTTTGATGTAGTACTCTACTTCTTTGTCTTTTAAGATATGAAAGAATAAAAGTGGATAAAATTGAATTCACTTTTATTTATCTCTCCGATATTATAAAATATCTAATTTATCAAACTTTTCATGCAATAAATATTAAGTTTTCTAATGTTGAGTTAATTTCAATTTCTTGGATAAAAACTTCCTATGCAATTAATCAAAACTACTTATAGCCTTATTAACATATGCATTACATTTCAAAAAATCAAAAAAAAAAAACCTCATAATCATTAAGCAAATGCATCTATATAACAACAATTATGGTAAGTTTCTTATATCAAATTCAAAATCAAATTTTTCAATTGAAAAATCAAATTTATGATCATGCCAAAGTTGGCCAAATCAGATAATGCATTATGAACAAATAAACTCACTCAATTGCACAAATTGAAAGTAAATAAGAATAAAATTTATTGATAATATTGAAGAATTAAACAAAAACTCATTACATCCTAACTTAAAACAAACTAACCACACTTATATACAAAATATAAAATCGAACTGATACAAAATACAAAGATAAATTATATATAGACTTTGATAAAAATAAATAAATTTTTTAAATGATTAAGGAATAAAACAAAAGATAAGAGAAAAGTTAGAAAAAAAAATCTTTGAACTTAAAAAGTTGAAAAATGAAAAATGACACTATATGTACTTGATACCTATTTTTAGATTTTGGACTCTTCTTTGACATTGTGATACTAACCATAAGTGTTGGAATGCTTGTAGATCTTTATATAATTTTTTTACATAATTCTGACATTGCAATGCTAAATATTAAGCTTTGTAAGCTCAAGCTTTGATGGCAACTTGAACTCTGGCATTAGAATGTACACTCTTGAGCGTTGAAAAGTCCATGAGTTAGAAACTTTATATTCTCTTTGTGAAGCAAATGGTGGAACACTTACCTCTAGGTGTTGGGATGCAGGAAGCCTTTTGCACCATATGGGTTCTATGGTTAAGCATTGCAATAGCTTGTATGCTTAGTCAATTGGCCCTATAATTAACAAAATAACCATAATTAGCATAACTCTTAAATAATTGAAGTTAAAAACTTTAAATATTCAACAACTTAAAAAAAATTAGAGGAATTAATTATCTTATGATAATAAATGTTACTAATTACAATTAAATAGCTTCTAAAAAGTGTTAAATATATGCTAAAATATAACTTGATTGTAACTTTATCAACATAGTATCCATCGAGAGAATTTGAGTTCTAACATAGTTATAATTTAATCTCCTAAGAAACTTAATCATTTGATCTTGTATCTTGTATTTAGAAACATTGTTAAGAGCACGGCAAATGCACTTAAAGGTAGAGGACGAAAATCAAGTTCATCCCAAAGGATAATGATATTAGTGAAGTAGTTTGTGAAATTCAATTATCCTTGTTTACAAGAAGAAATCATGTCTTAAAGATTAACAATTTGAATCATATCTCCTTATGAGAACCTCTCCTTAAAGAACAACAAACATGTTAGCACTCTCTCATATGGAAAATAATGAGTTGGTACAGCTGGGAGCTTTTATGGTTCCAGCAATGAAACATGTTATGTTCTTAGAAATGAGGCTAATGATGATAGTTTGGTCAATCAAAAAGTTCATGGACAATGAGGAAAGATGATTATCTGATGAACCAACATGATTGGATGAGCTAATATCTTGTGAGGGGTTAATAACATATGTCATTTATGAACGTAGCAACTAGAGCTTGTTATAAGTCTTCCTTTCTATTTGACTACTTTTAGTTGACATTCCTCCTTGACCGTAAGTATTCAATGGTTGTATTAGCCAAAAATTTTGTAGTCTCTTATAAAACAAATGATAATTATATGCATTAATTGATTATTGATAGCATGCATCCACTTCTGAAATGAAATGAGCCACAAGTTTCATTACTAGGTTAGATGGTTGAGATATGATTCACTTGGTGTAATTTTCTTATGCTTCCACTTATGCCTGCATATAAATTTTAACAATAGGTTAGTTTTACGAATATGATAAAGTAAATGTAAGTTTGACATATGTATTACCTTTTCTACATTAAGACTTGAGGTATCTTGTTCTTTTTGTGCTAAACTTGGTTGTGATAAACTAAGTTGTTTCAATACAATCTCAATTGATTTCACAAATTCTATAGTAAATGATTCCTTTTGTTTCTTTTGTCAATTTTCTTTCTACATTACTTATTACAATTTGTAACATGGTGATGAAAATGTGAAAATTGATTTGAATTGGTATTGTTGTTACCTTTTTTGGTGCCAAACTTGGTTCAAAAGTAGCTTTGGTAGTCTTTACACAATTTGTTGATTTCATATTCCGTTGTGAGATGAAATAGTTAGATATATTATAGCTTTACCTTTTATTGATTTATGATGAAAACTCATTCATTGGTCCTTGCATTAACTATGTCTTCCAATAGTAAATTAAAAAACCACCTCTAACTTTCTTTAGTTTCAGTCTCTACCACAACAAATGCCAAAGAGAAATATTGATTGTTGGATCTCTTCCAACTACTATGAAAAATTTACCCTCCATATTTTGTTTATAGATGACAACTATCAATTAACTAGTTTCAAAACCTTGGTTGATAGTGTATTGGTTACAGTTACCCATTGTTACTTGTATTTTCAAGATTAACTTTCTATAACTCCATAACAAAGTATATTGCTTGATTACATCCATTTTCACAACTTCTCTAATAAGTTATTTTGCTCTAAAAGCTCTCTATGAAGTAATACAAGTTGAGTATCTTGTTTTGATTCCATCCACAGTCTCTCCTAACTTAAAGTGCCCAATGTCAAATGCATAATTATCTATCTCTAACGTTGTACATAATTGGCTTTAGACCTTAATATAAATTCTTATTCTTAGATTTCCATTATAACTTACCACTCTCCATGTACCTTAATTCTTTAAGTAGTGAAATGCTTTGAAATATGACCATCTTATCAATGTCCAAATTATGCATTGCATGGACTGCACCCTTTTCATAGCTAAGATTATATCCTTTAGTAAATACTCCCCCACGGTGTATTATAATCATAAATCTCATTCTTATATGGGCAGAGCAACACATTTTTTTTATATATACAAAATGTAATAAAAACATCTAAAGCATGAGTTTGAACCCTGTTACAAGCATAACTCTATTACAATCACTTTAATCCCATTTGTTGGTCCTCAGAATTCATTTAAGTATACTTATATTAAATAAAAGTTAAAAACATTTAACTCTATTAAACTAATTAGAAAGGACTGTACAAATCTTGCGTTCAAAGATTTTTGCTTTATATTTTATACATGACGGTTTATACCTAATACTTAATGTTTAACTTGTATAAGATATAATAAATGTGGACTCTTTGTTCTTTCTTCCTATGTGATCATAAAAAATCTTAGTAAATGAGATGTTTTATTTCATTCCTCTACACATACTTTGCATGAAATGATATTTACTTGACAATTTTTAATTGTTAATAAAGTTTATTTTTAAAAAGTTAAAAATTTATAAGATTAAAATCATTTTTTAATAAACACTAATTTAAAAAATTTGTATATTTTCCAAGACTAATTACTTGTTTAAATCTAAATATGAAAAACCATACAAAACTAACAAAATCCCACCCTTTCTTCCATATGACCAAAGCTAGGCTTGGGTCCGAAACGCACGTGTCTCGAGAGGGTAGTGCAGTGCAGAGTGCTGTCCGGCTCTCTCCTGCGTGTTGAATCATAGCGTTTAGGGCTTTCTACACTTTCCCTTCTTCTCACCCATTTCTCAACCAACATTTCCCCCTCCTCCATTCCTCTTCACCTAAAAGCACCCGTTTCATTGTTCTCCTCTTACACTCTAGCATCGCATAAACTCATTCCCAATTTCCCTCTTACACTCCAAATTCCCTTTTTCTTTGACCTTAAAGTTAAAACGATGTCGGGCAGGAACCGCGGGCAGCCCCATCCACCACCTCCACCACACGCTGGGTTATCTCCGCCGATTCACGATCCCGTGTTCGGCGCAAGAGCCCTAGGGGTAGTAGGGCCCATGCCTCCCCATCCTCACCCTGCGCTTCTAGAAGATTTCCGAGACACCCAGCTAGGGCTGGGCCCGCGGCCCATTCCGCTCCACCCCGCCGCCATAATTGAGGAGCGTCTCGCGGCCCAGCATCAGGAAATCCAGGGCCTGCTGGGCGACAACCAGAGGCTCGCCGCCACCCACGTGGCTCTCAAGCAGGAGCTTGAGGCGGCCCAGCACGAGCTGCAGCGCATGGCACACTTTAGGGACTCCCTCCGGGCCGACACTGAGGCCCGCATGAGGGAGCTTTACGACAAGTCGGCACAGCTGGAGGCTGAGCTTCGCGGCACAGAGGCCGCACGGGCCGAGCTTCTCCAGGTCCATGCTGAAGTCAAGGAGCTCACCGCCGTCCGGCAGGACTTGTCCGGCCAGGTGCAGGCCATGACGCAGGATTTGGCCCGGATGACCGGCGATGCAAAACGGTTGCCGGCGTTGAGGGCTGATGTCGATGCCATGAAACAAGAGTTGCAATGTGCAAGGTAGTAGCACTCTCTTTGAAGCAAAGTTGTATAGATTATGCTTTGGATAATCTAATTATGGTCAAGGTTTTGCCTTTTTAAATTATACTCTGCAACTGTATTTGAGGCCATAATATATAAATGTTACGTGGTTATTTTTTTAATTATCTAGCTCTAGACTCAGGTTTGTTTGTTTTAAAGTTGAATAGAATTGTTTTTGATAAAAATTAGTTTTGAATTTTGAACGTGATTGAGATGTATGCCAAAATTAATTTTAACCCACTGGTTTATCTCTCCATCGAATCAAATTAGCCAAAGGTGTGCGTTCATGAGCTCATGCTAAAGTTTCAATCAATTCCTGCCAATATCCGCACCAGGAGATTAAGAACATAAACCCAGTAGCCCAAACAAGATGTCCAAATAAGAACATCCACACCCAGACTGATAAACTATTCATACCAAAAGGGTTATATCCATTGATAAGTTGTGAAGAATTTAACCATAGATAATCTCTTAACCATCCCATCAAATAGGTGGAAGATTCACTAAACTGTGAAACATTACCCTGCCATAGTGTAATGTGTTTCCAATGCCAATAAAAAGTAATCCATCCAATGGTATTTAACATCCAAAAAACTGCCAAATAAAAAGCATCCCAAGCCGAAATATCGCAAGTACCACCTCGTCCCGGACCATCGCAAGGAAAACTATAACCAAAATCTTTTTTATCCGGCATTAACTTGGAACCACGGGCATCCAAAGCACCTCCTATTCCTTCCTTCGTCAGGAATAGTTGGCCTTGTTCCTGTTCCCCTTCCCTCGCCCCTAGCTACTTAGCTACTCTTTTTATTTGTTCGGGCTCCTCTTTCGAGTATCCCTCACTCTCTTTCAAGTTTATTAAGAATAGTATCCAGTAAATGCTAAGAATAGATCGTTTGCGCCCCACACCCGTGGGTCCCTCACTTGCTTGTCCTGCCCTGTTCGGTCGCATTAAGCTGTTCCCTCCTTGGGTCAGGGCTACTTACAGACTTTGCTGCCCCGTCGGTATGCTTTTTGGGCTACCCTTAGGGCAGTACTAGATCCACTGCCCTCTTACTCGCTCGTTACGAGAGTGGCCCTTCCCCGAGAGCTCCTTCTCTTCACTTCGCTTATCCTTCGGTTAAGTAAGAAGGGTTACTAGTCAGTTAAAAATGAAAGTGCATACTGAGATAATAAAGGATATGTTTTTAAGCAGCCAATTGCGTTTTTTGGTTGGAAATTGCGAGAATTGTTTTTCAACTCTAAACCAAACAGGCAGTCGAGTTTGTGGTGAACATTGAATCCTATATATGGAGCTCGACACTTGACAACCTATTCACTGATGTAATTTTGTACAATTCATGTTTTTATGATTTTAGATTATGTTCTGATTGGTGGATATGTGTTCACTTAAAGGGTTTATCATGGAACTGAGTTTATATTTATCTTATTCTTGCTTTTAATTGCCTGTTGGCTATTAGGGCTGCAATTGAATATGAGAAGAAAGGATTTGCGGAAAACTATGAACATGGTCAAGTGATGGAAAAAAAATTGGTCGCAATGGCTCGGGAGATGGAGAAGCTTCGTGCGGAGATTGCTAATGCTGAGAAAAGAGCACGGGCTGCTGCAGCGGCTGGGAATCCAGGTATGCAATTTTATGTGTGATATAGCCTTGTTGAGCTGGCTTATTGCAATTGGTTGTTTGTGACATCTAATGGCATTGGGTCTTGCTTCCATTCGTCCTTGTGTGATGAGGTTTTGCTTTCATGTTTTAAGAGATCAGATCACTATTAGTGGCTGACTATTACTGTTGTACATTGGAATTTGTACTGATTAATTAACCAAATCTTGCTTCTTTTCATGGAATTTAAGCATACTAGTGCTCTTACATTGTTTGCTGTCCTTTTCTTTGATTTTATATGTAGGTCCAGGGTATAATGCAAATTATGGCAATGCTGAGGCTGGATATGCTGGAAATCCTTACCCTGCCGTTTATGGCATGAATCCGGTAAGTATTGTCACATCTCAAATGTATCAAGTATAGTTGACCCTATCATATGCATTTGGTCTGAGCAAAACTAAGTGGACCAGCTTGAACTCAAGGGTTGCTGTTGGTTTTCATCTTGCAGTAAATCACTTCCATTTGGGTTGGTTTTTGGGAAATCTTTATATTGTTGGTTCAATACTCCAGTTGGATTAGATGGAAATGACCTTGGCTTGATAAGATTGGTGAAAGTGAAACCTTGGGTTTGTGAATGCTAACCTACGTGTACAGATTGGAAAAATAATCCATGAACCCATTATCCAATGAATATTTTAATATTTAATTGATTAGGTTCATAGTTATCAATCACAAATAGCGGAGTGGAGGTGCTGACCCCAAAAATGCTATAGCATGGTTGCAGGATGGTTGCTATGCTGAGATTATATCTCCAAAATAAAAAATTATACTATTATTCATTTCACATATAAACGCTTAAAGTTTAAAAAATTATCTAAAACTAAAGACATGTTCATAATCTAAAAGAATAGGGCAGTGGGGGTGGGGGTGGGTTGAGTAGCAGAACAGAGGGTGAAAAAAAGAGCAGGACCTGCAAGCTGTGAATAAACAGTGAGGATTGGACTGGGTATTGAGTGCGAGGTTGAGGTTGAGTAGCAGATTGATAGCAACTGGCATCTTTATTAAGAAATACAAGAGAAACTCCCAATGTTACAGAATAAAACACACACAATCAACAGTTCTTCGAGGGACTCCACCTTCTAAGCCAAAGGTCCTTACTCTCTCACAACTGACAAACTGACCTCTCTCTCTTCCTCCCTCTTATTTATAGAGGGCATATGCCTTATTTCTTCTACAATCTCAACCATCCCAAATTACTCAATAATTAAGGCTAGCTAACTAATATATTGTAACTAACTAATTAAGTTAACTAACTAATATAGTAATATATTATAACTACCTATTAATATGTCCTTAACTAACATGATGCCAGTTACTAGTGTGTCGGAAAATATTGTGATTGACTGGAAATACTGTTGACAATCAGTGGGCTGGTGCAAGATAGTGGACCTGGCCCAAAACATGTGTAGTTTATGTGAGAAAGAAAAAGAGAGGCACTGGATATGTGGGTGGAAAAGAGGGTGAGCTGGCTAGTTAGTTATGCCAAAAGAGAGAGAATCGTTTGTTATATGGGGGAATGATTTGTTTAGAGGGGTATCTTTTGCAGTTAGCCAATTTGTAAGAATGGAGAGCCTCTAAGGTTCTTCAACGGAGCCAGGCTCTGAGGGTAGGGAGAGAGTCTCCTTGCATTTCTTCTTGTTTCAGTAATTAAATACAATCTTCCAATATTTTTCTTCTTTCATTTGCTGCTGCTGTTGTGTTTTCTATTCTGATTTTTAACAATGGTCCGACCTGCCGGATACTAATACGCTGGGAAATGACAAACAAGAAAGGGGGAAATTTGAAGAAAAGAGGATCAGCGACATCGGTGGACATGGATGACCGAGTGGAGGAGGTAGAGCGTGAATTAGCTCTGGTGCGTGAGGCGGTGGAAACTTTAAAAAACAAAACAGAACAGAGTCGTATAGCTATGGAGGTTATGAGACGTGAGAATGCAGAAAATCAATCCAAGATCCTTTCCCTTTTGACCAAGAATTCTGAGAAGGAAAAGGGTGCAGACGAAGGGTCAAAGAAGTTTTCAGAGGAAGAGGGAGATAATTCCGGTGACCCAAAAACACCGTGGAACAAGACACGGAACTCCATTCTGCACAAGCTTGACGGCAACGCGTTGATGGAATTCCGTCAGTCTGTAATGAAAATCGAACTTCCGATGTTCAATGGGATCCCGCTGGGTGGATATCTCGGGCAGAGGTATATTTTCGTGTCCAAGAGATGAGCGATTCCATTTGGGTAAATCTGGCGCAACTCTGTATGGAGGGGGGAACCATCCATTTTTTTAACGCACTGATTAATGAGGAGGAATATCTTGGGAGGGTCTAAAGAGGGCTTTGATTGAAAGATATGATGGCTTTGGTGAAGGGAGTGTGTGCGAACAAATTACGTCGTTGTTTCAGACAGGAAGCGTAGATTAATACATCTCCAGTTTTGAGTATTTAATAGCGCAAACGGAGAAAATCCTAGATGAGCACTATGAAGCTTTTTTCCTTCGCGGGTTGAAGGATGAAATTCAAGGTTGTGTAGTCTGTTGGCAGTGGGTCCGCTTTCTCGCGGGCGGTTGCTGAACGTAGCTCGCTCTGTAGAATCATAGCTACGTAACAAGGAGAAGATGACGAACGCATTTGGAAGAAGGGATTTCAGGGTCAGATCGGGATCGGGTACAATATGGACAATAAGGTCTAACCCGATTCATCAAACCCGCAATTTGGTAGGTCAAGAAAAAGGGTTTGGGCAAGGAAATGGGCTTGTTAAGGGGGCTGTTAACACTAGGCCCAATTTCCATGATGGAGTGATAGAGCAAAACGAATATGGGCCTAGAGACAGGGGAGTGAAGCATCTGTCATACTAACAAGTCTTAGAGAGGCGCCAAAAAAGCTTGTGTTTCAAATGTGGGGGCCCGTATCATTCTATGCACCAATGTCCTGATAAACAATTGAAGGTTATGATATAGATGACAAGGATGAAAGTGACGGAGGCGCGGATGAGTCACCAAACCATGACGCTGAAAACGTGTTTGACGGAGAGTGCAGTATTCTTTGCTTGCAAAGTCTAGAAGAGGGCGAACGGGAGAATCCAAAAACCTTGAAGATCGCGGGTTCAATTCATGAAATTCCTCTGTGCATGCTGGTGGATAGTGGGGCAACTAACAATTTCATCTCTAAAAAGCTTGTTGACGCTATGGGATGGAAAGTAGAAAAGACCCAAGACCTGCGAATCCTAATGGGTGATGGACATAAAGTAGTCACGCAAGGGGTATGTCAGAATCTGCCGATGCAGATCGAGAATGAGGTATATCTGATTAATGCCTATCTTTTTGATTTATCCGATATAGACATAGTATTGGGCGTGTCCTGGTTAGCATCACTTGGAGAGATGTCAGTGGATTGGCTCAAACAGAGCATTTGTTTTAACAGAGACAGTCGCGAGGTGTTGTTGCTGGGAGCGAAGCAATGTGAAAGATCCCCATTTTCCCTTGAGACCTTGGTACAAATGGTGGAAGAAAAATCAGAAACGGGAGAAGAGTTACCTGATAACTTACAGAGGGAGTTGGAAGCCTTGCTTGGAAGATTCAAGGTAGTCTTTCAAGAACCAAAGGGCTTGCCTCTCAAGAGGTCCAACGCTCATGCAATCACTTTACTGCCAGGACAAGGGCCGGTAAATGTTCGTCCATACCGTTACCCACACCACCAGAAGGATGAAATTGAGAAACAAGTGTGTGAAATGCTAGAAAATGGGCGGATAAGGAGAAGCAGCAGGCCCTATTCAAGCCCGGTAATTTTGGTGAGGAAGAAAGACACTTCATGGAGAATGTGTGTGGACTATAGAGCTCTAAACAAAATCACAGTGCCTGACAAATTCCCCATTCCAATGATAGAAGAACTCCTTGATGAGATGAGTGGAGCTACCTTCTTTTCAAAGTTAGATCTAAAATCCGGATATCACCAAGTTAGGATGCGCGAAGAAGATATTTCAAAGACCGCATTCCGCACACACGAGGGCCATTATGAATATTTGGTGATGGCTTTTGGATTAATGAATGCGCCATCAACTTTTCAGGCTTTGATGAATGACATATTCCGTGAGTTCATGAGGAGGTTCGTGCTTGTATTTTTCGATGATATTTTAGTATATAGCACGAGCTGGGAGGATCATGTGCAGCATTTGACAAAGGTACTGGAAGTTCTGGAAAAACAGCAACTCTTTGCCAACAAGAAGTGCCAATTCGCACAGAGGAAGGTGGAGTATTTGGGGCATATGATTTCCAAGGAAGGAGTGTCAGTGGATCCTTAGAAAGTGGAAAGTGTTGTAAAATGGCCAATTCCTACAAATGTGAAGGGTGTCAAGGGTTTCTTGGGATTGACAGGATATTATCGTAAATTTATTAAAAATTACGGGCTGATAGCTAAGCCTCTCACAGAGTTTACGAGAAAAGACGGATTTCACTAGACTGATAGAGCACAGTCTGCTTTTGATGAGTTGAAACAAAGATTAACTACAGTTCCTGTATTGGCACTTCCGAAATTCACTGAAGAATTTGTAGTAGAGTGTGATGCATCGGGATTGGGTGTTGGGGCCATTTTAATGCAGAATCAATGTCCTGTGGCTTATTACAGCAAGGCTGATAGGAATCAGCTCTATGGAAAGAATCAGTTTCATGGGAAGGTTTATACAAAGAGTGGTTCAAGGAAAACAGAAAATTAGTTGTAACTAACTTGGAGGATTCAAATGAATGAGAGATTTTAGGAGCTGATTAAGGAATGAGAGATTTTAGGAGTAGATTAAGGAATTTCTGTTATTGAAAATATTTTAGGAGTAGTTTTGGTATTATCTGTTATGCTAGTATTTATTGAGTAATTGGTAGGAGTTTTAGGGTATGGAAGTTTTAGTTATTGGGCTTTTGAGTGTTTGAGCTACTTAGTGCTCTATTCCTACTCTTGTAGTTTGCATTCAGTTATATTTAGTTTCATTCTTAGAAAATACTTAACTCGAGTATTGCTACCTGCACTATTTCTGCTGTTTGTGTGTGTTCCTATCAAAGGCTCTAAGCGAGATGAATTTGGCCAAGTCTACGTATGAAAAGGAGTTGATGGCTTTGGTACTTGCCATTCAACATTGGAGACCGTATCTCATTGGGAGGCATTTCACAATTCGTACTGACCATTGAAGCTTGAAACAGCTTTTACAGCAAAAAGTGTTGACGGGGAATCAACAGAACTGGGTGGCAAAGCTCCTAGGGTACAATTTTGATATACAGTACAAGCCTGGGGTGCAGAATAAAGGAGCCGATGCTCTATCACGTCTTGCAGAAGAGGGGCAATTGTTTTCCTTAG